AGTTTTGCGCCGATCCTGTCTGCAGTGTTAGGCAAATACTTACGGGAGTTTTGTCTCCCCCCCCCCCTTTGCACACTTTGCATTCGTCTAACATCAGTTCACGTTCAGTTCAACTGAACGTGAACTGATGTGCTAGAGTTGACTGCAACAGGGACGGATGGTCAACTATCAGTTCACTCGCCATGCTTATATGTAGCATGGGAAGGTGGGCGGTCATCAGTTCACCTCACCTAAGCTCAACTGATGGGTTAAGTTCAGTTCACTTGAACTGATCGAGCTTTACTACGGGCCATTATTTCAGTAGGTAGACTAGAGAAGCGTTCAAAAAAACCGAACTCGCCTAATTTCAATTTTTCAACAGATAATCCAAAGTTTTTCGCTAGCAGATGTTTGCATTCCATTTCCATCTCAGCATAATTACATGTTATCTATCGAATGAATCATCATCTCCTTGTGCGCTTCTTTTTTGAAAGCAAAGCTTTCTTGACATCTATTTCATCGAATCCAAGTCGCATACGTTGAGTAACTCACTTCGTTTATGTTTTCCCAACCACACCTAAGTTCTTTAGTCATGTCTTGAATAGGGATCTGAGTGATTCTCTGTTTTTGGCACTGTTTGTTTGCCTTCACGAGCAAAAGGCAAGAAGAACAATGAACTGCAGTTAATATTATAATGATTGTGAGTCACACCCGAAATGTCAGTGATAAAGATACAGCGAGATTAACAGGAATGTAGACACGTCGCCCTAGATGTTATGAATCACTTCACACAAACGCTTCATCTTTCTTTGCTTATAGTACTGTCTGCAAAGACTAATGAATGGGATACTGATAAAACTTGTATGGATGTTACAATCGCAATCGCTTACCTAAAAGTCAGTCTATCTTCACCATCAAAGTTTATACTGATCAAAGAAGTTAAAGGGATTTTTTTCTAGGGAAACAGCAAAGGAAATTCTAAAACGACCTAGAATTTGACAGATTATGAGCCTCGTAAAAGAAGATGAAACCATTGCATAGACATACCCGTCACAACGCTATCTAGCTCCTTATTATCACATATCGTTCTGCCACGCACTTGAACGGATGTGAGATGGTTGCCAACACATCCACGCTTTGAATGAGGGATCGAGAACTTGTGTAGTAACCAACAAGTGAAATGGATGATAGTTTCTTATTTTAAAGCAATAGTCACATCCTCCTGCACCAGTACTCTGCGTTGATACCACTGCTTATCATTCTCCATCCTGGGCCGACCGTGAGCGGTTGTTTTCAGGTTAGCTCTCAGTCTTTTACAATATCAGTCAAGTTCAAGTCTTTCCATCCTTGTTTTTCTTCTTATCTGTTGAACTTTCGCTCAGTGCTTATTCGTTGCTAGGTGTTGATCTGATTTTTGGCCTTGCGATCCGACTTTCGTTCAGCCTAATTTGCATATCGATCAATAACTTTGCTTCTCTGCCATCCTCCTTTGTTGCATTATTTCCATCGAAATCTTATATATAAAGCTGAATGTCTGTCTGTATGTATGTCTGTATGTCTGTCTGTACGTATGTGCGGAATAGAAATTTTTATTTCTGAACCGATCGGGACCAAACTTGGCACACATATACTTCGGGGCAGGGAGCGTGTCATAGGCTACTTTTCGTTATCGATCGATATCGATTTTATCGATTTTTTGCAAAATTTGAGCTACGCGGCTGGGAGTTGGCACAGGGGGGTAATCGAGCATGCTGATTACGAATATAATAATGACAGGGCCGGGCGGAGCCGGGTTTGCCAGCTAGTATCGAATATATTCGAAAATTGAAAATTTCGAATATTCGAATATCGAATAATATTCGAAAATCGAAATTCTCGAATATTCGATCGAATATATTCGAAAATTGAAAATTTCGAATATTCGACTTTCGAATTTTATTCGAAAATCGGAAATTTCGAATATTCGACTATCGAATATTATTCGAAAATGAAAAATTCGAATCGAATAATATTCGAATAACGAATATCATTCGTTATTCGAATTTCAAATATCATTCAGTTCTCGAATGTCATGTAAGTGTTAAGAATGGACACTTTCTTATGTTACAATTTACGATGGAATAACGGTTTAGTCGTGACGTGGAGAGACTTAGGAACCTAAAAGCTCTCCTGTGACGGTTGTGAAGAGATCTTTCGTACTTCAAGATATACAGAATGTCCCAAAAAGATGTGCACACTGTTTGATCGTTAATAACTCTGTTGCTTTCATGTCTTTTGCCGAGCTTGAGGTACCATTCTGTAGAGCGAGGTTCAACTTAGATTTACAGTATGGATCAAATTATCAATCGCTCTTCATTACTGTAGGATTACGGTAGAAACTTCGAGAGGGATTTGAGGCATTGAAAGCGGTATTTTGCTTCGGAAAGAAATCCAAACAAGTCAGAAACTCTTGAACTGGGCTAATCGAGGTCGCTGATTTTAATTATGAAAATTCCATTTTAGTACAGCTCTTCTTCCATAGGTTATTACAGATTTAAGGTAACAATTTTTTTTCAATGTTCATCAGGATTGTGAATGCGCCATCAAGAAAGCTCGAAAAACTGGTGAAAAGTTACGTAGCGAAATCAGCGCGCCTGAAAACCTTGCTACAAAAACTTTTAGATTTTTTTGAAATTAGCTGTATGCTGAAAATTCATACCGTAATCCTACAGTAATGAAGAGCGATTGATAATTTGCTCCATACTGTAAATCTAAGTTGAACCTCGCTCTACAGAATGGTACCTCAAGCTCCATGAAAGCAAGGGAGTTATTAACGATCAAACAGTGTGCACATCTTTTTGGGACACTCTGTATTATCTACCATCATTGAGAGATGCGACTGGATATACAGCGGTCCCAACGTATGTATTATAGATCTGTGGGCTGACATCAACTTAGAGTATGGGGCGATTTATCAATCGCTTTTCACTGTTGTAAAATTACCGTAAGATTGAAGAGGGTTTTGAAACATCAAGAGCCATTTCCCCCAAGAAAAAAAATCAAAACGGCCGAAAGTCTTGCATTAGACTTCTAAAGAGACTCACTTATGTAGAATTTGCACTCAACCGTAATGCTTTTTCAAAACTTACGCCAGGTACACCGTAACAAGTGTTTTGCAACGCCTTTCAAAAATGTGATTGCCATTTGAAAAGCTTGAAAACTCGTGCGTAGTGAAATTAGCATACGTAAAAACGGGGGTGATCAGCATGTTCGATTACCCCGCTGTGCAAAATCCCAGCCCCGTAGCTCAAAATTTGCAAAAAAATCGGTGAAATCGACATCGATCGATAACGAAAAGTGGACTATGACACGCTCCCTGCCCCGAAGTGTATGTGTGCAAAGTTTGGCCCCGGGCGGAGCCGGGTTTGCCATCTAGTGCCTCCTAAAACTACAATCCCTCCCAAGCCTACAAAGTCACGCAATGCTCAAAAGCCTGTTGATCCTCTTTCTCCGCCACAACGATTGCAATGCTCTCACATAATAGCGTTGATTTAACCAATATGCAAACTCCCCCTCCCTTCTCACGTATTCTATCAGGCCGAAAAACCATGTACGGTAGATTAGCTATTTCAGCATCAACTTATTTTCGAAAATAACCACGATTCAGTAATCAAAAGAATATCGGGGAGTCTACTGGTCAAAAAAATGGTGTAACAGTTGTAGCTTGTTCAATAGAGATCTAGCATTGAAAAGAATACATCGCAAAGAATCTCCTTGCCCACAACTCAGTTTCCCTGCATTGCAGAGGAAACGTGGTGTGGGCCTATTGCAGACTGAGAAGAAGAAGGATTGTTGCCAGCCAATGAACTGGCAAGCACCAGCTCATCTTTGTAGACAACAAATTTATCTACAAAGCTCCGACTCTGATTCAGCTGTCTAGCCTGGTCCCTCTACTCACGCTCCTTTTCTCTTTCCCGAGCCGTCATGCTGCGCCGGATATAGACTCCCTTATGACAAGGAGAATCTTTGAGCAGTCGGGCTCGGGAAAGAGCGGAGGCCCAATGACTCCTCGATGGCAGTTCTACTTTTACCAAGCGCGGCATATTAGTCGTTTTTCTGCCCATGCGAAAGATCTTAACTGGCCGACAATCCAAATCAAGAACATCTAACACCTCGCGAACTTTCTTTTCTGTATCCTCTTGGCGCACTGAAGCGGTTGGTTCATTGCGCCCATCCCCCCTAAGCTCAGGGAGGCCTGCGATAATAATGCTTCTCGATCTACAATCTCTTTCGATCGCAGTCTCGCCAAACTCTCCAAGCCTCACGAGAATCTCATTTGTAATTTCTCGCACCTCAGGGATATTAAGATCCAAGAGCTTTTTGAATAGCTGAACAACTAGTACTCTGCGTTGATACCACTGCTT